GTGTACCTCATGTGGATGGATAGATCCGATATTATATAACAAGGAAGGCTTGAACAATTTATTTGTAACCTAGGTATTGTAAAGAATACCAAATTATACATATTGACAGTAACATTACACCTTTCGAGTCAGATTGATAGGGTATCGGATGCTGTTTCGGGGTTAACTCATCCATTCAGAGAGTGGACAATTTCTAGTTATTTACACTTTCCGAATATTTTATTTATTTATGTAATGTAGTGTAAAATGTAACAGACCCAATCGTTTTCTCCTGTAACTCGGCACAAACATATTATTCGGCGAGAGAGGGCGAAAAACACTTATTACTTAAACAACTCAGGTGCTGCCATGAACTCCATTTGTTGAGCCTCTTCGGTCCCGTGAATATCTTGGTACAGTATTACATCCTTTTAAGGAAGTCTTTGGATACGAAAATTTATGAAGATGTTAGCAATGTGGTGGTTTATATCAAGTTTGTTTATCTTAATGAAATTATATGATAACAGGGTTTTGTGGTCCCGTAAAATAAACGTAAGATGAAAACGATAAAATATTAAATGATTAAATCTGAAAGGATATAGGGGCTAGGACAATTAAGAAAAAACTGTGTTAAATTAATAAATATAGGTTTTTATTTCCATAAAAATATGATTTTATAAACCTATATTACCATTATTTTTATATATATTACTTTATAAGTACCCAAAATTAACCAAAAAGGGCAACAAACAAAAGGGATTTTCTGAGATAAGTACGGAAACACGGATATTTTCTGTTTTCTTATATGAATCACATTTAGTAAATGAATAACTACATATTTGATACATGTCTGAGTATGAGTGTGGTAATTTGTAAAGAGAGTGCAGGTTACTTTATGAATGCTGGTAATGAAATTAAAGAATAATTCATTGCAGCAACTCGTTATAGGAGAATGTTCGAACTGGTTAAGTAGTAAGGGTAACAGATACTATTATACCTACTACAATATCGTGTTTTGGCTAACCTCATTCGAACCGACGCAAACACACTAACACGGTAATTTTTCAAATTACGTAGTGATTTTAACCACTTTCTATTTAAATTTAATAAATATTACACAACATCACATAAATTACTTAGATCCAAAAATTAGTTAAAGTAATGTGGATATTGAATAAAAGATGGTATCATAACATCCAATCTCCAGATAATATATAAAAGTTGTGACATCTTCGAATCGGCATAAGCGTCACTCGGTTGTGTGTTTTTTTACTTAGAGTTAGCTGACGAAGCTAGTCACACATGATAACATCATGAAATATCGTCCAAGCTCGAATATTTGTGTGAAGGCAAGATTTTTTATGGGCAATTATACATGTCAACATCCTGTTACTAGAGTGGCCAAAGACCTAAAAGTCAATTAGCCAAATTGACCCGCGACCCTACCGAAGATATCTCGGACATTAGCTTATATGATAAAGTGTGGCTTTAAGTAACTTAAGAACAACAAGGATGAAGTGAGAATGGAATCATAGCTGAGCTTCTGAATGTCGGTGCAACACCTGTGCTTAAAATCCTTCAGGAGATATTCAATTCCATCATCTACGATGGCAGAAACGTGGTCGAATTGAAAAAAAGTTGAAAATTTTCAGGCCTGTATCGCCGATAGAAAAAAGTAATAACCTTTTTCTAGTCCACAAATGCCAAGCATAGTTGTAGTTTGTACTCCTCGATCTTTTGGATTATTTGGCAAAACAGCAAAAACTGTTTTCTTGTTCATAAACGATTCTATCAAGTCCTAGGCAGTGTTGCAGTCACTCCAGCGGTGCCGTATTGAGTATCGTTACTTCGAAACGCTGAATATAAAAAGGCCACTACATCAGTTCGCCTCCGTGTGATGCCAGGCAAGACGATGTCATATCGGCGAAGCTCTTCAATTCTGTATCGGAAGACGTCTTTATGTTTGTGTATGTTTTTATATGATTTGACGATAATATCGTAATCATGGTTAAGACTTTGGAAGAACTCGTCGAATCTAACTCGGTTGGGCAGAATTTCGTCACTTAGAAAGTAATGGAGAAAGCTATGTCTCTGCGAGATCGAATCAGAAATGAGGAGATTCGCAGACGACGAGAAACAAAGTGAATTGCAAATCTGAATTGGCAATGGGCCGACCATATAGCTCATTACTACCATCTGGGTTACACAGTAAAGTCCTCGAGTGGCGACCACGGACTAGAAAACGGAGGAGAAAAAGAAAGCCTCTCTTAAGATGGACTGAAGAAGTAATCAGGATTGCTGGGACCGTTCATCGTGGAGATATGGAGGTGGGTCTTTTTAGGTGGCGAGATTTGTGAGACAACAATTTTTATTATTGTTGCAAGTGCAAATATTGCCTATTATTTTTGTTATTATGTTGAATGTTTTGAGATTAATTAATTAGGATGGAATTATATTAGTTTTCAGTTTTTCTGTGCATTTTATTTTTTAAATTAGATTTAATTTCCTTCCATAGATTTCTGACATAGAAAAGATAATTAAGCATTTAAAAAAATATTTACTGTCATTTTTATAACTTGTTAGGATTCCTATGATAAAATCTATGTTAGAAATTAAAAGATAGAGAAAAATATAGGTAATTTTTCAAGGCATTTTCTTACTATTTCGTATCGTAAAAATTATTAACATTCTAAATATAAAAAACTTTAAGCAACAATAAATGTGCAACAGCTTTAACTTTATCCAGCTCTCTACTTTTTACACGAATAAATGTGCAACATGCTGTTGCAGGAACATAAAGACATCAGCCGTTCATCATTCATCATCAGCCCTTTACGTCCCCACTGCAGGGGCTCAGGCCTTCCTTATAGATGGTTAAGGACAATGGGCCATGACCCTCCACGCTGGCCCAATGCGGATTATAGGGTATTAAGTACTGCAAATGCAGCCAGGACCAACGGGTTAACGTGCCTTCCGAAGCACGGAGTAGCTCGAGATAATAATTTTTTGGTCACCCATCCCGTGACCAAGCCTTGCGAAAGTTGCTTAACGACTACGATCGCGGGCCGCGGCGCTTATCCACTACGCCACCGAGCTACTCTACGCTATCTTTGACTTTCTTATACATTGTATAGTCATATTTTATAAGGGCTTCGAGATATATAAAAAGAAAGCTTTTATTTTTCCTGTAAAGTTCACTTTTTTCACTTGCACGTTTATTTGATGCGGCCGTCGAAATATTGGATTTTTTTTGTTTATAATTTGAAAAATACAACTCATTGTTATTTAGCCAAAATATTCGACGTTAATATATTTAAACTTTTTTTACACAATTATGCATAATTGTAAGTTTTAAAATTAACTTACAGGTATGCATAATTAACATAATTAACGTGCCTAACGTGCATAATTAACATAATGAATATGCGTAATTAACATAATTATGCATATTTAACTATTCGACAGGCGGACGATGTTCAGGTAATTAGATAGGCGATTTTTTCAAAACTTATCATGTCTAAAAATATAATGTTATTGTAAGATCATAAATGTATCGATTTGGTAAAGGCATGGTTTTCCTGAATATAGTTAATTCCAATAGAGCTTCTTTCTCATTGAGTTTCTTGCTAATTTCTCTTATTAGCCAAAAGAAGTCTTGAATTAGTGGTAGAGAAAAAAGACTGCTTGAAACATGTTTATTTGAATAAAACTATTTTGAGTTTTTTTTTACAATTTAATATTGAAAACAATTGAATATTACATAGCCTAGTCATGTCCAAGTTACAACTGTCATAACTTCTGACTTAACTATCATAATTAGCTTGAGTGTTCTGCTATTGTACTGAACTTTGAGTATATTTTATTCAACCAGATGCTAATCAAATCGAAGCCAATCGAGTTAATCGGTAACCCTGATGAACCCAAGATCTCAGAGATGACGACACCTTGAAACTCGCCTATAGAGGTCGTCTAATACAATTACAAAAAAATCAATTTTCACTTTATTGAGTATAGAACATTTTCATGGGAACTATTAAGTATCTACTGCCGCCGTGATGTCGTCTATAATAGCAGTAAACTTTATGAGTTTGCGCATGATACTCGATTTCTTGATAGAGCCATAATCTAAAGATAGGCACTAATAAAGTTTATATTTTTATAGTCGGTATATAAAAGTGTTATGATGCCATTCAGGATAGGTACTGTGACCGTTATTTACTACTAATGATATGATTTAGCTTCTCTAAACGTTTAAGAGAAACTCCGTCTAAAACGGGCAAGATGTTAAGGGTTTATTTCGCACATACAACCTAGTCTATTAACAAAAGAACAACAAAATATCCTATATGTTTTATTTAATTTAGTATACATATATGTTTATAAAATAAATATAAATCAATTCTTTTCATTTTATTACAGTTATGATTTTATATACCTACTAGCTTTCGCCAGCGGCTTCACCCTCAGGATCCCTAGGGAAATGTTTAGTGGGATAAAAAGTCAGCTAATACCCTCTCTGTGTACTAAATTGTAACCAAAACAAACATCCAAACAAAGAATCTTTTCCATTTATAATATTAATAGGATGTATACAGACTATTAGAATATCAGCGTGGTAATAATACAAAGTTGAGACAAGGATCCTTGACCCAACTGTCATTGTCATATATTATTATTTTTCTCCATTTCTTCTTATGTAATGTCTGTTTTATTTTAAGTTTGTGGGTCAATAAATGTGTTTCTTCTTCTATTTTTAGCTATATCTATAGCCGGGTTAGCCCATAAGTAAAATAGAAACAACACCAAAGTATTGCTAGCACTAGCATTAAAGCCATTTGAAGATCTGTCAGTTTTTTATTGTCAAACTTAAAGGATACACCTTATTAGTCAATTAATCCCACCCACCAAGAATGACGCAATCGTATCCCAAATACGACCTTGTTCCAGCCCTACTATGACCCCACATATATTTGATAAAACAAGATTGCTCGTGCGCACGTGATCAAATAAAATATTTTGTCAGTAGTTTGATAGGCGTGGCCGTGAGTGGTTCGCTTAGCGGGCTCCTGTCTGTCACGATCAAGTTTAAATTAACAGGAAATAAACTATTTTATGCGAAGTACTATTTGAACTATAGATCGTTATATTGATTTGTTATTTACGATTTTATTACACCTGAATGAAAGTGTTTTCTGTTTTTGTTACATAAGTTAACTTGTTTTTAACATATTAACACATTAAGTCAATATTATTTTTATTTAATACTGTGTGTTTATAAGAACAACAAAGTTTTAAATGTGTTAAAATTGTTTTGACTTTTGCTTTTATTAGTAGCCCTTTTAAAAGAGTGATAACGTGGTAAGTGCATTTTAGCTTCAAGGGATTTTGTATGGTATATCCGGTCAATTTATAGCTAATTGAGAACTTCGTCTATTTCGATATCGGTAGTGGGTTAGGTTTATTGTAAAAATAATAAATGAAGTAACTCTCCATTAAATAACTAGTTAAAATATGAAAATCGTTAGGTTCATAAATTCCCCCAGAATTCGACTGGAGAAGTTAAAACTATGTATCTGCATTTGTATGTATATAGTAAAGTTTTAAATATTAGAATATCATTAACTTTAGCAACTTTTCTTAATATAGTGAAATAACTGTGCTCCTAATATATGTATATGTAAGGCAAAGTATGATTGAGATCTACTGTGGGACGAGTTTGCCCAGAAGCAACCTATTTACTCTTGCCTTAAATAGGTCTGGTAATATGCACTCGGAAATATCATTCAAAGCAGAATTAGCATAATTTATTAGTCCTCCGTTGTGAGAACGAGGCATTTTTCGTCCTCGTAATTCTAACAAGTGTGGTAAGAAGATACTTTACCATAAAATGTCGAATTTATGGAAATAAGTTTGAATCAAATAAAATAAAAATAAATAAGGAGCTCGATGGCGCAGTAGCTAGCGCTCTCGGTTTGCGATACGGTGATTAAGCAACTTTCTTAATGGCCGGTCATAGGATGGGTGACCAAAAATGTTATTATCCCGAACTCCTCCGTGGTTCAGAAGGCACGTTAAGCCGTTGGTCCCGGCTGTATCTGCAATCGTTAACAACCAGCAATCCGCACCGTCCAGTAGTGGGCACATTATTATGCTGGTGATGATGTTTGAATAATTTTGTATAAGCTGTCGTGCTGTTGATTTGTCTAAATTTATGGCATTTCAATATTCTTAAGTCTAATCAACTAAAAAAATTTTACGTAAGAAAAAACGATATTATTTTACAGAATAATACAATGGAGCGGTCTGAATGTCGTGTGTACTCAAGGTTCACTGCGACTAGAAATGACGGAAGTACCGTGAAACTGAGGATCCAGGACTTGCCTATAGAGTGTCAGGAGGCTGTGCTGGATTTGTTTGTAAATGTCTATGCAAAAGAAGAAGCCATGTATAAATCTGTAGGTAAATAAAAAAAATGATTACTACATTTTTTTTATTGTACATTGTGTACGTTTTTTTCAAAACAGACGTTTTGTTTCTACAAACAACAATCAGTGGTCGAATATTGTTTAGACAAATAACAAAGTGGTAGGCGGGCACTGATGAACTGGTAGGTACGTGATTTTTTTTATACCGAAGGAGTTCCCTTCGACCTTAACATTTTATTGACATGAACGATGGACGACTAAAACGGGGCTCTCTAACTGCAAGGGAACGGTGGTCCAGTGCAGTTGGCGTACCCAACAAAACCCTCCGTGCAAGACTTGAAACTGGTTCAGAATAAACCGTTTTTTTTAGGTAAAACCTGTTCTCTTATAAAGTTCCGTTCCGGATCGGAACTAAACGCGAAGTGAAATTCGGATGGAATAAAAACCGGCTAATTCGCTTGATTCGTAAAATGCAACATTTTTAAGGATCGCAATGCATGGAATTAATAGCCTTCGCTTTGTTCTATAAAGACTAATTATATGTTCAACCTATGTCCTACACACTTGGAAAGTTGTATTTATTATTGTGATAATACATATTATTTTGGTAATGACTTGATTTATGTAAATGTCATTACTTATGATAAAAAGCTGATAAGTTTCTTTCGCTTGTTCTTCTTGTCATCTAAAAGACGTCCTGAACAAGTGGTAGGGGAAAAAAGTTTTTTGGACGATTCAAAAGTGCTTGTAATAGCCTACTTGAATAAAAATATTTTTATTTCATTTCATTTCATTTCATTTCAACGTTCTTACGATTTTAATGCGAATTATATCATTTTTAAGCGATGACATTTATCATACCTGTGTACGGATTTAATAAATAGGAGTTATAAATAGGGCACTTAAAAACCGCGCTGAAGTTTGTGAGATCATTGTCTGGAGTCATATTTAAACCGGTTAATGAAGAAAACTGTATTTCTAATGAACTGGTTTAAAAACCTGTTCAAAGGAGCGGAACCTTTTATGTAAAGTTCCGCATGTACTTACGTCGAACCGGTTCAAAAAATAAACCGGTTTCCAAGCCCTGCCTACGTGAGGGTCTCGCCAGATTAAATATGTAATTAAATAACTTTAATATGTTCGATACCAGAACATATTTAATTTATTATAGGACTAGCTTTTGGACTAGCGTGTGGTGTAGTTACATTATGCAGCATTTTTAAATATGCTAAAACTTATTTATTCTTTATATCGTGTAATACCCGACACTTAGACAAAGGCGAATTTCCATACAAACATTGATTCTCTTGAAGTCGCTTTTGAGATAAGTATTATTTACACCTTTCATAAGGTTTGAAGTTGGTTCTATTAAAAATAATAATAATAAATAACACTTTAATCTTAAATATCTATATAAAAATATTCAACATAATGAAAGGAGATTTTGTTTATTTACTCGACATAATTTTTACCAATAATCTATAGTCATATTATATAAAGGAAAGATTTTATTGCTTGTTTGTTTGCTATTAGATAGGCTCCGAAACTATTAAACCAATTATAAAAGTCTTTCATCTACGGAAAGCTACATAATACTTGCGAGACGTAGGCTATAATTTACGCAGACGAAGTCGCGGTGAAATACTTAGTTCGATAAATTGGTTCACAAATCAAGAAGAAATCGATGAACATATTACATAGGTACTCTCATAAAAAAAAATACATACCTACTCGTTGATCATAGAAAGTTTTAAAAATGAATGCAAAATGCGCAAGCTTTTGTTTATTGACTGATATAAACATGTCTTCAAAATACTAATTCGATTTCCTTGGTCCATTAAGCTGTCGAATAAAATTTTAAAATTGTCGAAAAAGTTGGTGAACATAAATGAAAAAAGCATTCAACACAGTCGAACATATAAGCTCCTTCTTTTTGATTTTGGAGTCTGTTAAAAATATTCGCGATATTAGAATTAACTTACTTTGAGCTTTATAATAATAATTAATAACTTTGAAGATCATTACCAGCCCTTTTACGTTCCCACTGCAGGGGCTTAGGCCTTCCTTATGGATGGTTAAGGAGGTTGGGCCATGACCTTCCACGCTGGCCCAATGCGGATATTCATTGGAGGATATTAACGACTGCAAATGCAGCCGAGACCAACGGCTTAACGTGCCTTCCGAAGCACGGAGTAGCTCGAGATAATGATTTTTGGTCACCCATCCCGTGACCGACCCTTGCGAAAGTTGCTTAGCGACAACGATCGCGGGCCGCGGCGCTTATCCACTGCGCCACTGAGAACTTTGAAGATACTACGATAAAAATCTTTATTTATTTATTTGAAAAAGAAATATTTATTTATTCGAGATGACGTTATTGATACATTTTTCTAAATGTACTCCAGGTGCATGTAACAGTGAAGAATCAAAAGCAGAACTAATGCAACTGTTTCAAGATGTGACTCAAGTTCTTCAACCTCATGTAACTATTTGCTGCATTGATGACGATCCTGATGTTGTAGGACAAATAGCTGGTGCTTCTATGATGTATATAGCTGAAGGGATGACAGATCTAACGAAATTTCAGGTATGTAGTGTATATTTCTTTGTGTCTAGTATTTAAATTTTAAAGCTTGATGATGTATACATTATGCATCATTAGTAAAAGAGTTTATTTTGTTTCAGTTTTGTGTTTTTGTTGAGCATTATAAAAGTTAGACCAGCTAAAGCTTTATAAATATATGTTATAGATAGATAGATAGATAAATTCTTTATTTGCATCATGCATACACAAAATTTTACGATTTGGATTTTACACAATATTAGAAGCAAAAACAGGACAATCAAACATTATGTGTACCGCAGCGATACAAATGGGCGAAAACTCAGTGTGTATTTAACTCAAAGAGCAAAGCACTGATTTTCAGTTTTTACCCCAATTGCAAGTGGTCGCACTGTAAATATTAAAAAAATTCAAGAACTCACACAAAGAAATTGATAAAAAAACCTACAATACTAACCAGACACTACAAAAATACTAATAAATACTTACTAACTAAAATATTTGATAAACGTATAAGATATATAGATTAATAAAATAAATAAATAGATAGTAATACCCATTATTAATTCGATTCATTTGTCAAGATCATTCGGAGTCATCATGTTATTTATGTTTCAAATAGAGTTATTTAAGCCAATCAATATTCAGGTTCTTAATCCTACTGAATGTATTTAAATAAGCGAAAAATTCAATTTGAGTAAACTCTCTAGTAGTAACTCATAATTTTCAGGGTAAGTACTAATTTCAGTTGGCTCTTTTTGAGATATTCGAGATCTTATGATGGGCAAACTGTTTTGTGCCTTTATAAGCTCTTATCAATTGTACTGTTAAATTATAAGATTTTTTAATTATACTGTGCTATGGATTTGAGAAAGCTTTGTTATGCGGCCGCTTTTAGGCTAGTTATATTTCGATTATGATGTGGTGAACGGTGTTGGTGTGCAATTATATCTCATCTGTTTGACTTTGTTAGTTTAATGTAAATTGTATCACTGTTTGTTTACCCGTGAAAATAAATAAAAAAAAAAAAAACTGAAACTGCATCTAGGTTTATGAAGATTTTTGAGTGACTTCGTGAAGCTATTATTTTCTAATACCCTTTGTTTAGGAAATGCATTACTGAATACCTCACTTTTCTAGTGCATGTCCACGAGGTTTTGAGGTTATATTCTGCAAATCCACCCTCACAAGAAGGCTGATCAAAGTATAGGATTAATCCACTAAAGCCCATCAACATTCCTTTCAATAGAAGGCGTTGCATGAAACCCACCTAAGGAAAAGGACAAGGAAAGGAGAGTGGTCGAAACACTCTACTTTATCTTGAAATTGAACTAAATACAGCAAAAATGTACATTTAAAATTTTGTGGAATTTTAATTGCCAGAATCAACTCGACTTATACGAAGTTTATCTAGAATCATGCCTTTTAAAATATTGTGAATTCATTTAATTTCAGATTTTTTATTTTTACTTCAGGTTGAGACAAAAGAATTAAAGAAGCTTTTTGAAATAGCAGTTAATGCTTTATATTGTTATGATATAACCAAAGACTACAACGTGAAGAAATATTACGAAGACCTTGGAATCGTCGTTCATCCAGATTTTAGAAAGCTCGGTATAGCTAACGAAATTGTTAAAACAAGGTATTTATTGACAAATGATAATATTAATTATCAGGGAGTGATTTAAAGTTTAGCCCCCGGTCGTCTAAGTCAACCGATTCTGCTCTATAAATAAAAAATCAAAAACATTTGATTATTTCCTTTATTTTGTGGTTACATACATGTGGTCTCAGAATTATTTTTATCATGAAGTAGTAAAAAAAAAACAGACAGAGTTTAATTGATAATTGAGGTGTGTTGCATTCTCGGCAATGTATATTTTATATTTATTTATAAATTTAATTTTTAAACCACACTAAAAGGACAACATGCTGCATTCAAACGAATGATTTACTAGTTTTAGGTATATATTAAAATTTCTAGTCTTCAAATATTATTAAGTAATTATTAACGCTTCCAGTGCTGAGGCACAAAAAATCTTCATGTGAACACAAACGCGGCACGAAAAGGTCAACGCACCACGTGGATAAATGAATTCAGCTCTAGTTACATTTTTGATCAGACATCCGATTCTTGACAAAAGTGTTTTAATATTACCTATCATCGCAAATTGAACATGCAAATACTGGGTCACCAAGTTTCTTTTGTGTAAAAGGAGAATTAAAACACGCATTTATATTTTTTTCAGGCGGTTGATTAGCAAGATCAACAAGGTGCCTTTAGCGGGTGCTTGGATGACCGCTTGGGGTACGCAAAAGGCTGGCGCCAACGATAACTGGGAGACAGTCGTGGAACTAGCCTTCGACGATTTGAGCAAGCGTTTCGGTGTGATCTTCGAAAATACACCGCCAACATGCAAATATATGATCGCAAAGATTTCGGAATAGATAATGTTGAGATTTTTCTCTCTGTTCATCAAAATATGTTTAACCCAGCTTCTTCCAACATGCTCCAAAGGTTATCAAGATCTCTTGTCTTTAGAGGTCGCGATTTTCTGCCAGATATTGCTGGCTAACCGTACATTTGGCTCAAGAATTCATCGTATCAAGGGTGATACGATTACGACAGTATATGTGCAAAAAATTTCTTCCCATGCTTCTTTGAATGTTGACTAGTGATTGGGTAATATATACATTTTACCTAAAACATAGTTTTATTTGCTAATTACTCAGGTGATAAATACAAGATATTTTGTAAATATTTTAGTGAAGAACATCCATTGTGATTTCCATGATATGACTATACTTGTCTAAGATTTTGCATAGTGATAACTTTATAAATTGTATCACAGTTTCGTGTTACTTACTATTTTGTCGCATAGTTGGTCATTGCTTTTGATTTTTTAAAGAGTCAGAGTTCAGAGTTTTTATAAAGAGATATATCTATACTTTCAAAAACAAGTCAAAACTACAAAGTTTGGGTGGAATGTCTGAACATCGATGAAAATACGATATGTAGTAGCGTCATCACTGTCAGGTCCTGGATAGCTCAGCGGTTACAGCAGTCGCCCGGATTGTGAAAGTTCATGGATTTGAGTCCCATATCAGAGTGCTAGGGATACAGTGTATTTTTTAAACATTTTTCATTAAGAATATATTTCAGTATAGCATTGTGAATGCAATATTGATCAGATATAATAAATACAAATTTCATATCAGTCATATTTGAATTTATAACATACTGTAAGACACGCTTTGAGAAAACTTTAAATTTAAAGAAGATGTTATGATCAGAAAAAAAGATTATCAACCAGCACAACACTAACACGCGAATTCGAACACGAAAAAGTAATAATTCAAAATAGCGGCCAGCATTGATCATAAATCATCCGGAGAGTAAACCTGCCGATAGTAATGTACACGGACGTTACAGTACTAACGACTACAGATACCACCAGAAAACCATTCCTTATATGCCTTCTCAAACGCAGAGGAGCTTAAGATGATTAACTTTTGGACACCCATCTTATATTTTACTCCAAAATGCAGAATGCTCTAGACATTACACTATCTTTCTCCTCAATATAAAGGTTATAGTATCGTAGATTTATATGGTCATCAAAGTCTGTTATAACATTCAACTTCGCTATGCAATAACGGTCATTATCAACTCAGACGACAGTTATCTTATACCAAGTTCCACATTCCCTTCCCGACATAAATTTCGCTCGTTATAGCGGGTCCATTCTACATCAGTTTGTGATTACTGTTAGTAAGCTATAACATGTCTAAACTTGGAATATTAATTGGTCATACAAAATAGATTGAAAATGTACTTAAAATATAATTTCACCACAATTTTTTAATATAATTTGCCTGATATCACTAATAGCGGGTCTTGTGCGTAAAGCGACTGTCAAAATTTAATTTAAAAGTTATTAGTCAAAACGGACTATTTTTTTAGTAATTATTGGCAATAGGTACGTGACGTGTCGATGTTTGTGAATTCTTATTGGTTAGCAGGACTCGTAATTAGACCACAAGTCAATCCTGCTCATTTCAGCTCAAATACTGCAGGTAAATTATGCGTAGTAAGTAATGAAGCAAATAGACTGAAAAAACAAAACAAGACTATCTAGTTTCACAACAATGGCAGATCTCAGGTTATGAACACAAGGAATATTCCTCGTGATCGATAAAATAAAGTCTTATTTTATAGTTTAGATACAAAGGTGTTCGAAAGCCATTCGAGAAAAGGTGATTACGTTTCTATGGTACGTCAAGCGGCAGACGTGAGGGAAGACCGATGACAGTTCGGTAGTGGCCATGATTTTTAGGCAGCATATTTCATTTCATTTATTAATTTGCCACAAACATGGTTAATAAGATAACAGAGTTATTTTTGATATGTACATCATATTTCACCTATTACTAAGCTTGCGAATTTATATACGATTATAGAATGTACAATGTCAATATTTATTATATAGATCTGCGCAAATGTTGTGCGTGCTGCGAAGTAGATTTGGGCGTAAAAAAATAATAATTAGGTAATGATATTATAGTAAAGCTAAAATGACAGATAGTCACCTTTTCACGCTCGAGAGCACTATTTAATTTCTTATTTGATCAAGTACTATCTGGAAAATGTCAGTAAGAATTCCTTGCACTCATCAGGTGCGGGACTTTGATTGGATAGGTGGTAATTTCGTTGCACAATTCAGATCAATTTAAGTTTTAATACTCCAAAAGCATTTTCAATTATAACACTGTAGATACCAGAAGTAGACTTATAGTCATACAATCAATAAAAATATAAATTATTTCTTTGATATTCATTTATTTGTTTATTTTTTTTTGTGTATAGAGTGATGCAATAGAATTGGCTCCAATTAATTAACTCTCGTTAAAATATTAACTAGTCCGAAGTTACTTGAACGTATTACTTATTTTGATATTTTAATATAAAGAATTACATGGATTATTAAGTTAATGGTTAAATCGGAGGAGTTCGATGGTACATGGTTTAGTGCGTTCGGTCTGCTTTCGCAAGGGTCGGTTACAGGATGGGTGACAAGAAATAAATTATAAATACCTCCACTGTGCTTCAGTTTACATGTAGAAGGTTGATTATATATATATAAAGGGAAATATCTTTAAAAACACACTACCCGAGTTATATCCTAAACGTGACCAGTGCATATATAGAACGCTCCCTCTCGGAATTCTAGAACTATCCGAGTGCGAAGAGCCAATAAAAAGTTTTACCCAATTTTGTTCAAGTGCGCAATTTTTTATCTCGTATCTAGATTCGTGCCAATCAGTCCTGAAAAAAAAACACCCATTTTATTTCGTCGCCAATTTAGAAGTTTGTCGTTCCACTAGTTGCGAGAGTTTTTTTTTAGTAAATTCGGTTGGATTTTCATAATAATATTCTGAGTTGAATTAACATCAAATATATACGTATCAAAGTTTTAACTACTAGCTGTCATCATCATAACCAGTCTATTAATGTCCCCATTTCTGGAGCACAGGCTTTCCGTATAATTTTTATACAGTGGAGCTTTTCCGCATCTCGACACCCAGTGTCTATTTTGTTTTAATAACAAGGTTATCCGGCCAGGCATGCCCTGGTCAGAGACTTTCTTTTTGACCTAACCACATGACGCGATCTCAGTGCTGATGGGTGTCAGCGATTGTAAGTATTGTCCGTAACGAATGATTGAACGTGCTTTTCGAAGTGCGGAAGAGCTCGAGATAGTAAATTTTTATAAATCCTATAACCGGCATTTGCGAAAGCCGCTTGAATTCCGCATCGCATATCGAACGCACTAACTAATGTGCTATCGATTTCCACTTGATTACTTGTGTTTACTGAACTACGATTATCGATCTGATAAAGTATGCAGGAAGCAGCTGGATGCAAGCAGTACAAATTTGATTGGTGTGAGGTTCCTTGGGGAAGTCTGTGCTCGGCTGTAAAGGTCGAACGGTTAGGCTAGTCAATTATTTGTTTAAACTTTTTTAAGCTCAAAGGTGATATTATTAATACCCCCTATTGCAGTGCATGTCTACGTTCAAGTGCTATAGTAAATTATACGTTGGATTAGATCTTAGCTTGAAGGGACTTCCCGTACCTTTCACGACGTGGCCTGAATTCGCATTTAACCGGGGCTCTGGTGTTTCAGAATTCGATTACGCATCCAATCGATGACTTCGTTTTTATTTCCCCTTTTTGTAGAAGTATGTATTCTGCCTATTATTTTGATTTCAACCAACACAAAATTATATTGAAGAAGATCGGAAATTAAAAATAAGTTAATCTATCGAGATTAACATTCTAAGCTCATATTAATGAGCTTTGCTGATATGCCATTAGAATGTTTAGGAAAGTTTGTTTTTGCTTTATAATACACTAGTGTCTTAGAAATTTTAGATGATTAAAACCATTATAGAGAAATGAGTGAAATTTTGTCGATCAATATACATAATTATGTGCCGTAGTAATACAAAGCAAAAGCTTCACTGTCCAGCGAAGCCTGTTCATTTGATAAACAGGATATTATATTGGTAATATTATTTCTAAGTTAATAAAGTACTAAGTTAAAGAAGAGAAAATGTGGCGTACCAATCATCTTGTCAATCAGCTACTGAAATAGTAATAGATTGTTGAATACACAAAAGAGGTTAGTTATCGTTGAAACAGAATATTCCAGAAATGATTTCAATCATGAACTTCAAAAGGAGAAGCTGTGGGCTGTTTGAATAAATTGTTTAGGCGTGTTGATTGCCCCATGAGACTGAACATAATCAATCATGTTTGTATCGCCTTACAGTGATCCAGTGAAAACATACGGGATTATTATTTCTCCAACTTGTATGGATAATCTTGTTGAATATTTTCTTCTTCTATATATAACTTAAAAGAAAATAACAAGATAATTATGTTGTTTAATACAAAACTTGAAAATGAGTGGATCATGGTGATAAAGAATCTTATGAAACAAAATGGACACCATGAAACCAAATATGCAATGACAATATAAACAAAACGAAAATTTAGAAAATATCTATCAAAAGTATATTCAATAAAATAACTCGTCAATTTCACTAAATAATTAACACAACACATTTACATAGAAATAATATCATAATTTAAAAAATTAAGAACTCGTGTAGACTGCGTATCTGTCCACAAAGTCTTACAAATCACTCGCGTCCTTATATTTTTTTTCTTCAAGGCTGAAAGGTATATATTACTTTTTTAAGCACCAGTTGCGGTTTTGTATTTAAATCTAAAGCTAGCTAGCGTTCTTTTGTGAGCCTCTCCATGTTTCTATTAGTTATAATTAATACATTAAACCGTAGTTTGGGTGTTCACTTCGATAGCGAGCTGCGTTTTGAAGACCATGTAAAGGCATTGGCCAAACACTGTTTCTACAGGTTGAAGGTCCTGTATAAGATACGTGATCTACTATGTCAGAATGCTCGTATTAACATCGTCGAGGCATTAGTTCTGTCCAGACTTAACTATGCAGATCTTGTTTATGGACCACGTCTCCTTTATAAATCTCAAAGACTGTTACAGCGAGTTCAAAATGCCTGCTTTAGATTCTGTTTTGATGTACCACCTCATTCTCGCATTTCTCCATTTCTTAATAATGAATCAATATTGAATATGGAATCACGTCGACATTTACATC